CGCCACAACAAAATCTTCAACCACTATGCATTTGATTCCAATTACCACTCTACCAACGAAGAAAAAGAATATCTTGCCCATCACCATTATATATTAACAGAAGAATCCAATGAACCACACACCAAAAACACAGAAGAAAAAAGGTAATCAAAACTTAAAACATGGCCTCTGCCCCAAAAGCCATCATATAATATTTAGTCTATAAGTATCACACCAACAGAGAGAGTGGATACCCCACCCCATGAATTCCACGAATATAACAAATGAAGCAAAATACTTTTGAAAAAGGTATAACTCCAACAACAAGCCAATATTCAAGACCCAGTTCTAAGTCCCAAATTTGCTATAGACATTACATTAAAGTGAACCAGATAATATGTTTTCCATCGTTGCATGCAGCCAAATCTACATTCAGTTAGAGCGGCTCCTTATCACATCAAGACCCATCTCGGTAGGATCAGTAGCTTGCAACTCTACCTGAATGCCATCCAGCTCTCTTCTAAACCTGTCCTTCGAACTCGCATAAATCATCTTGCTTCTCACCTTGGATGTGTCAGGGGACCTTCTCGCATACAGAAAATAATCAATTAGCCAAATGATCAGGCATAATACCACAGTAACCAATAAGAAATTTTGACTCCTAAAATATTTTAACCTTACCAGGCAATAAAAACAATCCTGCTCTTCTGGCAATTCTCTTCTGTCACATAATCAAAGTCATAGACAGCATAACGACACTCGTCAGCAGGAAGGCTAGCAGTGAAAGCCTCATAGCTATCAGTTGGTTCACCAAGCTTTTCCACCACAACCTGCTTTGCCTTTTCCTCGATTTTGTAAACTATGAACCTGTAAGTCCTTTTTGCTTTCAACTCTAAAAATTTCAGCTTGCAGTCATCATGCACAGCCATCCCTGATGCTGCATTCGCCTACCAATAGGATAAAATGTTAATAACCATAACCCAACCAATATCAACCCAAATAACTGCATTACGCACTGTGCCTACAACTCCTGAAATTTTATGTTCATGGGATTTCCTTTCTCAGTTAAGGAGACAATCATAATAAGTTATGTAACTAAGAAAAATAAAAGGTTTCTTCATCAATCATATCTATTCACAAGCATATAAGCATACACAATTGAATAGACTGAAAATTGTACAACCACAATTCATCAGCAAATAACAAATGTCAATGTGTAGCCATATGTATTAATTCCAATATTCTAACATGTAAATCAGCACCCCAACACGACTAAATGAGAACCTTTCGCTTGCTATCTGAATAAGCATGCCGTATACAAGTGCTTTCAGGTTACCAACAATTCTCAACTTACCCTAATAGGAAAAGGTCTTACTAAGACCATAGGACCTGTTTTTTTTTTTTGAAATAAATAGCATACGAAGTTATATTACGTATTTGAGCTTAGATTTTGTCTGGTTTCTATTTTTAAATCTTACATGCAACTTACCGATTCAACTATGAATTTATTTCTTTTCCCAGATCGAACACCTAACACCTCAATATACTGTTCAATTCATTTTGATTCTTCTCGCGAAAAATTCTTGACGCGATACAAACAAATATTCTCATGGTCACCACTTCCATAAAGCATTATGTTATGCTCACTCGACAAAATAAAACAACAAAAATTCCTAAATATTCTCCACTACAAATGAACCAACCATCAACAAATAAAAAAAAAAGAATAGGGGTAAATTGAAGAATACATATAAACAGAGCAGGAACTTTACATCCTATAGTAATTACTTGAGTCTTGCACCAATAGGCTAATAATACCACCTAAAAACTAGAGAGTAATACCACCTAACAAAATTTCCGACAGCACACGCATTCACTAATTTCACTTAACAAAAGGCGAACTCCCGATAACGAAAATAGGCATTACAGTATATTTTATATATGTCTATATATATATATATGTACACTTATATGTATATCGTGGATAAAAACATAATACCAACTCAATGAAATTGAATATAAAATTAATGGATAATATTAAAAAGAAACGATCAATCTGCCAACGGATGGATGGATCAACAATAAGCCGAATTAACCGTGCAGATCAAATGACCGAAAATACCAAATCAAGGTTGCTAAACACTCGTTCAAGATAAAAATTATAATTATTATCACTTTATTCGGATTGGCAAGCACCGCAGAAAAAATAACCAACCGAAGTTTAAAATCCAATCAGAAATTATCGTGATACAAAAAAGTGCATAAATCGCACAGATCGAACACAAATTCGTCAACAAGTGGACCGAAAACATGACACAAGCTTAACCATTAGAAATGGCTCTTGAACTGGTAAAATCAAACAGCAATTAATGATAAGAAAGTAAACTAGTGAAGCAGTTAAGAGAGATTACCATTTTCCCGAGAAAAAACCGGAAGAAAGGGAGGAAATCGCGAGAAAGGTCTCGAGAAAATCTAGGGCTCAGGGAGAGAGAGAGAGAGGGGGGAGGGAGAGATGTGGTGG